GTGAAAACTTCTTAGATAGCAGTTAAAAAATAATTAAAAATCCCTGAGGTAATTTTACTTTACGTTTCGCTTCGGATCATAAGCAACAATGACTGTGTAAAAGTTTAAGCCGGCCTTTTTTATCTATTACAAACATACCATTAGCACGTTGCATGGAAGTAAAAATACTTTTAACTTACACCGCGGTCGTTCCCGTCCACGTATTCGGGTTTTCGATGTGTACGTGTGCAAAGAGAAAAAAGGAAGCGAAAAATAGTGGTTCGTAAAACCGCTGAGTAACTCGGGACCAATATAAAACACGTCAAAGTGAAATTGAGCCCAGCACGTAGAGATGGGTTGTTTCGCGCCCCAAGTTTACAACACATCACGGTTGTACCTCGACCAGCACCACCAATGTTTCCATCAATCGAACAACATACATATTTTGCTGAATAACATTGAATTACAGGAAAATTTATTAAAAAATTCTTGGTACCCTTTTCAAGGTTTTTTAATTTTGAATTTTCCTTCTTTCTGATTTTCAGGTAAAGACAATATGAATTTTTAATTATTTTTAATAAAATGAACGTTCATTTTCTACGTTTAAATAATTCAAGTGATAAATGATATTTTATAAAATGGAAAAGTTTAAGTGAATGATATAAAATCAGCAGGGAGAAATGTTGAAATTGTAAAGTAGGTTGCCAATGAAAGCTGATAGTTACAAATGACTGTTTTCCTCTAGTGTACGTTAACGTGAATTTACGTCGAAGGGGTGGTGAAATTTTGCACCTTCAGTTTACAATACGTCACTGGCTTTCGATCAGAGACCACGAACTCCTGGCGTAACTCAATTCTCGTTGAGAGCTAGTTAATACACTCTCGATTGCTTGTGTGACCTGAATTTACCCCAAAGTGCCACCCTATATAAGGAATATTTGCTCGGTTCTCTGAGGATGCCAAACCGTTTGAAGAAAACACGACTCTCTGAATAAATATTAGTAATACCGCGACCTGTATTAAATTCCACCCTCGATTAATTACATCTTTCTTATTAACATTTTTTTCATTTCATAATTCACAATAAAAAAAGACCTTATATATTTTCTGGAATTTTTGTGTTAGTACTAACTTTAGATTTATGTGAATACTGTACATATAAATATTCAGAAAGGCATTTAGAAATATAATTTAGCATTAGAAATATTGCAGAAATATGAATGACAATAATCTAATTATTTTACAAATTATTTACGCTTGTGTACAAATAATTGTGAAGAAATCTCAAATCTTTTTAATTAAGTTTCTACTTCATATAATCTTTCATACAGAAGATCTGTTATGAAGAAGCTTATGAAAAATGATTGCAGGTATCAAAGTGATACGATACAATGTGGAAGAGAGGTTTTATGTGTCGAGTGTACAGCACATTAGGAAAACCACCTAATTCGATTTTCTTGAAAGCTTCTTTAATATGCTTTCCATTAGAGCTGGCTGAGTTATAACTTAATATTATTCTACTAGGGGTAACGAGATACATCAATCAGCTGTTAAAATAAAATGTGAGAAAAGAGAGACTATCTATTCTCGTAACATTTTATAATATATAACATTACATTTTTGTTAAATTCTTTTTTGAATCATGGTAAATTCAATGTGTTAATTTTAATTATATAAAAAATTTCGTTTAATAAAGAAGCAGTTGACGAAGAAAATTAAATCAAAGATCCTATTTTATAATTATCAAAGCAAGTATAAAAGACAGATAATCATGAGTTTAACGTTATCAGAAAATTGCGGATAAACGAATCGCAATTCAAGAAGGGTGAAGGAATATGCAGGGGTTGGAACTGAGAAATGGATTTAGTCTTTCATCTGGAGTAAAATCTGAGGATAAAACTTTCTGGAACTAATCTTTGATCTCCATTTACTGATAATCCTCTTAGACATTAGATCCTTTTAAATCAAAGAAATCACTTTTCATATTTAGTAAACCGCGATGGAAAATTTATCTTCCTTCTCAAACTTAAATTTTAATTACACTAATTAGAAGTAATTACAATGAACAGACTAAATAATTATTTTATCCTGTACTTGGAACATTTTCATTTTATCCTTGGTTATAATAAAAACAAACTTTATTTTAATGTTACTGTTTTGTAATTGGATAAAATTCTCTAATGATATTAAAATTAATTAGAGCTGACATAATGAGAAACTGCATTAATGTCCCATAACGATGCCAATTAAAACACGCAACGTGTCAGGGGAACGGCCATTGTTTCACGATCAAAATCCTTTCTATAGTATGCAAAATGGTGATTCGCTGATCTGAGCTAATAACGTATATCGACAGGATAGAGTGTCCTCGGTGGTCTACTGTGGAATATCAGTCTATCCCAATTCAGACAGTGGCAGGTGCATTAACGAACCTAATCAAACGAGGATTCTAGCCTCTATGGTGCTTCTAACTCAACTTGTCCTATCACTGCTTGGCAGGGACAGTTGTGCATACATTGTGAACATGACGTTTAAACTAACGGAAATCAACACGTTGGCTGTTACTAGGAAAATAGACGTACCTTATTACGTTAACAATTATTAATATTTTCATTTCAATTTTCAAGGTCTCCATTTATAAAATTTATGGAATAATAAAGCAACTTAATTGAAGCTTTTTCTTGCAAAAGGAATATATTTTCAGCAGAATTGAATTTTATATAAAGAGGAAAGATTCCAACTCAAATCTTTTCGTACAAAACTTTTTTTATCACATTATTCAAGTTCTTTCTCAAGTAATTTGTTACATTTCGACACATATTCTTAATGTATACCCTTACAGAGGGCTGTCCCCATCTCCTTAATAGCCAAAAGAAATAATAAATCATGATAAGTGGAAATGAACGATTACCCACTTGAGTTAAGACGGTAGATCAATAACCGCCTTGATCAATGTTTTACCAGCAAACAAAACAAGACTTCATGTACTCTGAGTGAAACTTTAACAAGGATAATAGTATCACGTTCGATTAGCGATATAATCAATAATTATTAAACTATCAATCAAAACTTCCATCTTCTATACAGGAGACATATGCTCATATAACATAACGAAGAAAAGATCTGGTAGAAAAATAAACATGTTTATCAATCCGATAAGAGAATAATAAACTCTTCCATTCCTTTATTAGAAGTGGGACGATGTTTCCATTTAGAGAAGACATTCGACGGGACATTCTAAGTGGCTCAATTTCTTTTCTACCCTTCGCCTCTCATCCATCTTTTCTCTTCTAAGAGAACACACGAAACTAGGATGAAAAACGGAAATAAGGACACGATTATAGGGTAGCAGAAGAGGATAGAGCGAAAAGAGAGTGCACCTAACGCTGACTTCGCTCATAATACCATCGAGCCGTTAAAGTTCACAGACACGCGAGTGCTTCGGGTCTCGTGCTTCGCTCTTTTACTGAAGAGGGCAAGAAGTTACACCCTGGCGAGAAGTTCGTTTCTGCAATCGTGGATTTTCACGTAACTACGTCCCAAATGCGCTTTACCGAGCCGCCTCGGAATTACCTCATTTCGATGACCCGATCGAAACGCCTCTGAATTCGCCGAACTAGGCTACAGTCTCGCTTGAACCTCAGTTAGAAAAATATATTCTTTTTTTTTATTTTAGTATGAACATTGATACGATGATTTGCGATAATCAAGACGAGAAAGGAAATATTGAGGCTTCAGTTAACAAAAATAAAAGAAATTCGTCTGCAATGAACGTAGAAACCTTGCAAGTTAATAGGAATCATGTGGAAATTGAAAAGGAAAAGAGGCAAACAAGAGGAGAATCAAACGAACCATGCAGATTCGATAACCGACCCCCGGAACTGAACCCAAAGAAGACGCAGTACTAAACTTCCAATTACAATGAAAATTACAAGACGAGCCACTCAAATTCGACGACCGATAAATTCGATATCAATTGGGCTATAGTGCATCCTCCTGTAATAATTGAATTACCTACCATTATATTGTCCACGGATGTTTTTGTTCACTCCAATAATGGCTCTCGAGCATATCGAGTATTTATTAAATCCTCTCAAATTTCAAAACGTTTTAAACAATCTAATCATTTGGATTAATTTTCTAAATATAATTAAATATTGACATTAAAATTTGTATAGTATTTTGGAGCAAATAAAAGGTTAATTGTGAACAGTCTTGTTGATTAAATTTGTAAACATACTTTTAGGTTATAAATACTAATCGTAAGATAATAGCACGAATTGTTTAGATCTCATCGATTTCCTGGATATTTACATTCATTGTTAAAATTTCTTTTAAACAGATATTTGATTTATGGATTTTTTTTCCGCAACAAGTAAAAGATAATATAAGAGAGAAAGGGAAACCTTCATTCACTTTAAATGACACCGCTAATGAAAACGCTGTAATAGATAACTAATTTTTAATGAAGTAATTACAGGAAATCGATATTTAAGAACGGCGCAATTAGTTCTGCTACATAAATGAAAAAGATGTACAAATGAAGCTCACAAATGCATCTGCCGTCTACAACGCTCAACTTCAATCGAAAATAAAAGCTTACCTTTTTCACGTCTATTCATTGAAGATAGCAAAACAGCTTCCCCTCACATTGTTGTTCGATTTAAACACACCATTGATATTAATAATTACTGATAATTATCAATTTTTTAAAATTTAATAGCACTACTGTAAAATCGTCGAACACGTGTTGTCCTAGGTCAGCCATTACTATGACGTCATGTCACGTGAGTCAAAGCAGTAAATTCTAACATAACTATCATTATTTAATGAATTGTTTTTACAAACAGAGTTATACATTAAACATATTTAAAAATCCTATTTATATTTTTAAATAATTCGTATGATGGAAATAATTATATTTTGTTTGTAATTTAAAATCGAAATGTAACTGTTTCCGGTTGTACTTTTCTAAACCGATTTCCGGTTGTCACTTCACGTAGTTTCTCGTGTGTCAATCAGACGCGTATTTGAAGGAATTACTGAAAACTAAACTAAAGTGAAGAAATAACACGGAATATGTACGGTAAAGTAAAGCATAGCTCGGCTTAAGCGCGTCTAACGTGACTGTGTTGATACCCGAATGACAACAAACATCGGTTCGAATTCCTACGACGACGGCTTCTGTCTCAAGTATCAAATCGTGCGTGACGCATCGGTCGTGCCTGTTACATCGGTCGTGCGTGTTACATCGATCGTTTGTTCGAAAAGTATTTTACCGATTCAGTTAAATCTTTGGACATTAAAAAAGTGTTTCGAGGTGTGTTTTGTTAACAACTGACTATACTGAACGACTGCATGAAAGGGCAAACATCAAAAATGCTGTGCTCCGAAATTTCACTACTGTTGTAACCTGTTGGCCACCATCTTGGGTGAGTTTGAAACTGACAATGAATATCTTTTGTTTGGCTTTCTTTGCTATTAACTGATATATAACCTGTTACGTATGTGATATTTATTTATTATGCAATATAAAGAATATATATATACTGTTTTATTGTATGACTGTGTTCCGCAAAAATCTTGTAAAATTGTAAATGTTCCGTGATTTTAAAAAGGTTAAGAACCACTGCTCTAAACAGGAGCGTAATTTTTTCGATTATTTTTCTCCCTAAAATGAAAGACTAATGAAGCAACTTACAAATTAATTAAAATATCAAAGAAGACGTTTTTAAGAAGTCGTTAATTATTCAGAAGTTCGATTAAGTTTTGTAAAGGATCCTTTGAGTTCCTTGTAGGGATGCGAAAGGCTTTCTAACTTATGCCGGTGTTTAGTCGACCAACTTAGTAATTGCGTACATTACGCTCTAATACAACCGAGTCTTCAATAACTAATCAACGCCCGGCTAGCTAACAGGAAATATGGTGCACCTATGCAAATTACGGGACACCCGTTACACGTTCACCTAATACGTATGTATTTCTCACACACCAACGTGATGAGATCCAGGCATATGCTATGTACCTTTGCATTCTCTATCCGGGAATCTCAATGAAAACTATGCAAATGCACGGTAACACTGGCTGATATAGATTCAGCGAGAATTAAGAGAACTTGTAGATGAGGTGTATAATATTACGATTAACATTTTCCTACCACGTCAGCTTCGTTTTATAAGCGTTCAGAGAATACCTTTGGTTTAATACCTCCCAAGTTCTTTTAATTAAGAAACGAGAAGATAATGCAATAGAAAAAAGAAAAATGGCTATTAATATTAAATCTTATTAAAATACCTTGTACGTAAATTTCAAAATTCATTTTCTCCAAAAGGAAAGGGTGTATTTCAAAATTTTCTTCTACATTTCCTGCCTCTTTTCTCGCATAAAATCGCGTTACGTTTCTGTTGATAAAACTAGTTACACGACACCTAGTATATTTACTAAAGAACGTTCTGTCTCGATTGTACCGTTCTCCTTTGCCGTGGCACAAGTGCATTTGATAGAAATGTTATCAGGAAATATGTAGGGCGCGGTTTCGATACGTACAAACGCCAAATATATCTTGAATATCTTCGAGACTTATCTAGAAGTCGTTTAGTATCTCGACGACTTATATTCAAAAAGATATCAGCATTGCAAGTCAAGTACAGCTGTGCTTTAAATTCCGTTGGATACGTACATGCACTTGACATTCAAGGGTACATGGAAATGGTTACAAAAGATTTTCAATTCTCTGCTCAAAAGTTATACAGTTTATATTTTTTAATGATGAAAAAAGGTAGAACATTATTATTCAAATTTTGGTTTCTTTTTGTAAAATTTTAATTCAAAATATCAAGTTTTAGAGATATTAAGATGAAAAAAGTCAGGAAAGTTCGCGTTACACATATTGAATAGACATTCATTTTTTTATTCAATATTAATTAATTATTATAACGTTCATGAAATACAATACTATATGGATAATTGTACGAATATAGCAGAAATTCAAGTCGACGTTACTGTTTCTTGATAGTTATTAATATCCTTTCATAATTAATTATTTATATACTTCTACAAGTGATCGTCGAATCCTAATTAATATATTACTAAACTAATAATGTTGTGCTTTTGTTTACACATATCTCAACAAACAGAGCCAAATAATATTTTCGTGAATGAATTATTAATGTTTGAATTTCCATTTTGGAAATGTATGTTATTTCCGAAAATACTGTTTTATTTTTTAAATTAAGCTTTCCACTTACTACCTCGTGTAGGTAAATACCCCATAAAAGTTTCTTTGAATTTTAATGTTTTTAATTATAACGAAACGCAGATCTTTTGATATTTTGAAACCGGGGTGGAATTGTACCAGTTTCAAAATGAATGATTCATAATACATATCTGTCTAGAATTTCCAAAATCATCATTTCATTCCGTTGATTTTCAAGCAAATTCGAGCAAGAACGTCAAAGTTCTCGTTCCCTTTGAAATATGAATTTCTGAATCGCTAAATAGCAATCAACGAGGAACGGGTTCAGGGTGTGCAGCTTCTGTTACGTTGTAACTGTTAACAGACAGGTTTCGAGAGTGGTGGTCGGTCGATTTGTCAATCGAGCAAAACATCATCGGTGAATCGTTAACCGCGAATTTAGGTCGTTGCAAAGCCGTTCTTGCCACAGCTTGATAAGGGTTGCGGATGAGAACGAGGATTGACGAGGTATAAGCCGTTGGAAATGAGCAACGACAAGCGTTTTAAAGTGCGGTTCGAAACCTCCTGAAAGGAAATATTACGGCAGTCTACCCTAATAAGGGTGCTGCACCACTTCAGCCACTCTGCCGGGGTAGTACCTGTTGCCCGTTACTCTATTAATAGTTGTGGTTGATAAGAATCTGTTATGACCATGATACCAACTTTGAAATACTCCCGTCTCGTAACATTTCTCCTGGAAGTAGTAGCGAACAGAGGTGTAGAAAGTTTCAGTCTTCGATGCTTTCAATTTCAACGTTAATGGATGAACTTTTAAGATTAGCATTTTATCAAACTTAAGCTTTGACAATTCCATTAATTTATAACATTTTTATCGTCGAATTTTGTGAGCTTATATCCATTCTACGTCTAACCATTTTTCAATTGTTAACAAAAAAATAGAAAATAGAGAAGTATGCGTGTAATCGAAATTTGGAGTGAAAAGAAAATATTTTTGTATCGTCAGGTTTCAAAAATACACAATGCAGTTTCGTTAAAAGGAAGGGAAATATACTAGAAACCGTACCAATAATTCGTTTTTCAATTTCACAAAAAATCAAAAAATCAAAATCGTGTACGCGATCGATCCGTTTCACGAGAATTGCTATATCTCGTTCAAAGGGTGATGTTTTTTATGAAATTTTCAATATGAAGAATTCAGGATAGATACATGCCAATATACTGCCAAAGATCAGAGTAATAATAGTTTTACTTTTCCATTATTTTAAATCCAAAAACTGGTCATAGTAGAATAACTCCTTCAAATTTATTAAATCATTTTATTCAAATATCCAAATTTTTTTTTTTATTCATAAAATTATCTGAAATCAGCGTGCATCTTGTCAAACGAAGCTTTATTTCTATTTAACCTGAAATCCGTTTCGTTGATACAGCAATATTGTTTAAAGTTCTTTTAATAAACGTGAACGTTTCAACTCTGTTTATGACCATTTTCGAGTTGCACAGCTTTTGAAAGTGGAACATTGCAAAAAAATTCTCGAGTACGGCATACAAGAGCGTTTAAATGAGAAACAAGAGGATGGTTGAATCATTTCGAGATGGTCGATACAATTTTTCATTGATTTCAATTAGATTTCCTTCGATTGGACACAATAATTGGTAAAGAGTACTTCTGAAATATTTCGTAAATTCCTCCTCCCGTAGAAATGTTAATTTCATAGAAATCTTTTATATGTATAATTGCAAATTAATGAAACTCACCAATTTTAACCAAAGATTTGTAATGAGCAGCTGGTTCTTTTCATCCTGAAACATAGAAAACGTTGATTTTATTAAATATTCGTTAGAAAAATTATTTATACAGCATCAATTGATATTTTATAATAAATAAACATTCTCGTGCACTACTTTGTAATGAAAAATTAATGACTTTGGAGCAAGAAATTGGGTATCGAAGGTGATCAATTTCTTGTGCAGTTTGAAAAAGGTTCATCGATTTCTGATAACATTTGGAATAAATTAACGAGTTGAAATTAATTTCATTCCTTTTATATAGAAGAACGGTAGGCACGATTATTCCTTTTTATGTATCATAAATGTTTTTGTTATTTAGTATAGAATATTTCTGAAATGTAACTTTTTGTAATTACATCTTTATAATGAGATTCCTTCAAAAAGGGCACAAAAATATAGCATTAATTTGCAGTAAGACTAAATTGAGATCTAAATAACACGAGAGAGTAGGATTAAAAGAAATTGAGTTCAGAAGCAATTTAAACTGCTAAAAAATTTGGTACATTTCTACATTAAAATAAATTATTATTAGTTTTTATAAGTTAACTTTGGTGGTTTGTTTAAATATCTTATTTTCAGTAAATGGTGTATCTTATAGCTAAAAATTTACAAAAATTTCAAAACAAAGGAACCAGTTTAACTTATACAAGGACACTTCCATAAAGTTTATTTTTTTATTAACTATAATATAATATAATACACTTCAAATTTTGTTCTTGAATAAAATGATAATGAGAAATCTTAATGAATCTAAATAAGGATCGTCTTCATCGTTCATTATCTTATTTTCAAATTAAGTCGGGAATACTAACTAAATCGTGGCAATTAATAAAATGCAATAAGCCGGCTAAATCTATCTCTCCTCTAACCAACGACGTATAAGAAAGAGAAATCCCAGTCGGTCATTAATAACGGGGAAAAATAGCTCCACTCATAACACAGGGTTTCGACAATTACCTTGTAATCATTTATCGAATTCTCGAACGATTTATGATTCGAATTTCGTTGGATTTTCGCCTACGTATCAATCACTCGAAGCAATTACATCGAGCTGTCTCGAAGAAGAAAACAGGGGACATGCTTTATCTTTCGAAACATGCGTTTCATTTCTGATTTGATGAACGAAATGATGGATCGGTTAATAAAAAATATTCAGATTTGCTAAATAAAATTGATTTTTGGAACGAAAATTTTGCGAAATAATTTTAATAAAAATATCTCGATAGTCGGCGATAAAATCAAAACCCCAAATTTAAGAAAAAGGATGTATGCATTTTTATATCAGCTAAGTTTTTTCAACATCATTCTCTATGTTTTTATAAATAGATGAATCTATTTTGTATCGATACAAATAACAGTTTCTCCGTGTTGGTTAAGTATAATTCAGTATACCGATAGGATTGTCGATTAATACAATAAATAATTGTTCGATTCGAGCACAGTATC